GTAGCAGGATTTGGTTAGAACACCTCTTTTAGGTAATCAGAAAAAACGATAGATTTTTCATCATCGCTTCGCACTCAGTTTCCGAGAGAGTTCCTTAGTGGAGAATGGGATTCTACGGAGGAATTTATAACTTTGCCAGCATTCCACATGGATAAATAGTTTTTCCATTTGGACATAGGCTTTGAATATAATTATATTGCCTGACTTTGGTTTCCTTGCTTAATGCAGATCTAAGTCTCCTTTGGGCTTCCTTAAATAAGTTTTTCGCTAAAGGGGAACTAGATTTTTGCCATTCGCGCCTTAATCAGCGTTTTTGTAAAACTAAATTCTCTATGTCACTATTTTTAAGTACCTTATTGAATCTGTAAATTTTATTGTCTTTAGGGGTGGAGTTTTCTGCTGCTGAAATTAGAATTGAGTTTAAAACCGAGGTTGCGTCCTCAATATGAGACTTACACTTTATCTTGTAATTTGTGTGTATGTATGAAGTATTGTATTTTTTACATTTGAGCCAGGTTGTTCTAGGACTTATAAGGCTACAGGAACAGTCATATAAGTGAGAACCATCAATTAAGCAGAATGTAAGTGAAGAATGATCAGAAGACAAATCACAGCTTGTGTATGTTGAGATCAAATTTCTGCTCATGCCTTTGGTCACGGCGGCGTCAATTAAGTCTGGTATTTTATTGTTATCGGTAGGCCAATATGTTGGCTGCCCAGGAGAGATTACGTCTGGTGCATTTTTCCTATTTAAAATGGAATTATAAAGCTGTTTACCTTATGGATTACAGAATTGTGAAGCCCAGTACATGTATTTGATATTGTAATCTCCTGCTGCAAGAAATCTTTCACCTAGAGTTAAGAAGTAATCCATAAATTGGGTCTCAGTAATGCTGAAACGAGGGGGGCAGTAAACTGCCGACAAAGTTAAGTTTTTTCCTATGTGTTTAAGGCATATTGATGTGGCTTGCATTTGTTGTGTTGTTTTATATTTTTTATGTAAGGTAATCTTAGAGATGTATTTTTAAAAGGTATATTCGTATTATATATTGTATATTTAAAACGTAATATACAATTCCGTAAAATTGTTGAATATCAACTTTCGATGGATGAATGTTGTATATCCAGAAACGTGATGCTATCCTACCTCCAATAATGTTGTATAGCCAAAATTGTTGTTTAATACAACAACTTTACATTTTTTAATGTCATGTTTCAACTATTGATGCTATGTCCAATATCCAATATCCCCAAAACACTGTTCCCATAATAATAGTAAAACTCCACATTCATTTTCTTTATACTATTAGTTCATATAATTTATTATTTGTTTATAACTTATAAATTTTTAGTCCTAACTTATGGTTTCGTTTATACACCATAATTTATTATTACAATATCACTATTTTCTCATATAAATTACAATTTATATTTTATTTACTAAATTGTTCATCCTAAATCCAAATTTTAATATTATCCTTAATATTGTTCACTTTATTTCTTTTTATCATATTTGTCTTATGTCCACTTTTAAATATTATTTATTTTGACATATCTTTGAGGATTCACTTCATCTATTACTTGTCAAATGCTTCACTGCATCTTTTCACTTGTTTAATACTTTCACTAAATCCATAACTGCTCCCTATTTAAGAAAACAGACTCTATATATATAGAGCTGCTCTCACCTACGCTTAGAACTTTCTCTAATATGACCTTTATATTAGACATGCCCCAATAACACAGAAATATTTAAAAATTAATTAAAAATTAAAATTTATTCTGTAATAATAATTTTGCGAAATTCGCAAAATTATTCATTCTACATATTTCACAGTCTTTACCTTGTTACCATTTCTTTTTTTCAAAGTCATTTACAATTGACCCAGATAATATATATTAACAAAAATCAGCATTTCACTTCAACAATTTGTCTTACTGACATTTTGACTTATTGTTAATATTATTGCAACTGTAAATAACTTTGCCTACTTTTAGGTGTTATTAGAAAATGTCTGCTATGCATTTATTAATTATTATTAAACAAAACTTTCAACTTTACTATATTGATAATAAAAAATACGGTATTAATTCTTACTTTGAAGAAAGAATCTACTGTTAACTTTACATCACAACATTCCTTCCCCTTTGAAGATCATTGAGGCACGAAAATGTTAGGTCTACTACCCCTAAGGCCAAAAAAAAAATTTTAAGCGCAAGCTTACAAACTTTGAAATATGTCCTAAAAATATGTTACAATTTTAAATGCAACCAGTTCCGTTTGCATATATAATATGTTTAGTTTATTTATTTGGTGTATATTACATCAGTTATTCTTTAATCTTCGGCACTTAAGTTATACATTTAATTTAAAATCGCTTATAAACAAATTATTTTCATTTGATGTAGTTATAATAATATCAGACATCTTAATTCTCACAACCTTTTATCACATGGAGGACGATATACATTGTACTGGATATGTCCAATAGTTTTCCCCCGATAGTTCCGAAGATGAGGAGTTCATCATGAAAACTCACAATTGGTGCAACAAATTGTTTGGTCCTCGAAAAACCAATTATTATCAATTATTCAATAACGGACCATACCCTACTGAGAGAGATGAGTTGGTTGATATTCGCCCTTGTGACAAAGCCACTGAGCAGGAAATCGTCCGAGGGGAAAATGCTAACTATGAGACAATACAAGATAGAAATGAGGAGTTGCAAAATGTACCCTATTCCTCCGAGAACCGGAAATTGGCTCATCCCAACACCGGATATTTACTTAATCGAGCAAAAAGGTTGCGGTTCTGATATTATTATGTGATTTACAAAATTTTGTAGAGTAAATAATTAAATAAATATTAAATATGTATCGTAAACTTACATGAGTTTTTTATTTAATATACTTAGATATTAATGGTTTTTGTTTTAACATTATCTTTGTTTTCTCTTGCTTAAAAATTACTAAATACTACTAAATATTTTATTATTTATTATCTTAAATATAATATTTTATATATAATATTTTAAATATTTTTCAAAGTTCTTATTGTTTATATTTGACATTTTTCTTAAAACTATTAAAATTTGTATATACTAAATCAGTATATTTTCTTTAAAATTACCTGATTCTCTAAATATTATCTATATTTTACATTTATGATTATTATTCTTGTTTTTAACATACATTTTCCCTTGCTCATCTTAATATTTTACTATCTTTTACCTATTCTTAATTTTCCATTAATGACATATTCCTAAAAATATGATATGTTCAATTAACTCTGTTTTAACTAAATTATATTACTAACATTATATACACCTTTCTTACAACAAATATAGTATTAAAATACTCCAGTAAACTGTATTCCTGGATGAGTTGGTTGTAAAGTAGAATTGTTATATTGCATGGGTTGAGGTGGTGGTAACGGTATCGGTTGTGGTACATAAGAAGTTGTATTTGTATACTGTACAATTGGTGCTTGTACCGGTGGTGGTGATGGTGGAGGATAATTTCTTATAACTGATTGTAACCTCGGAATTCGCTGTAACGTAGGTTGTTCTTGTTCCGTTGTAATCTGAGTTTTCAACTTCTTTTATATTACATACAATAGTAAAGCTAGCACTATAATTGCCCCTACTGATAAACCCCCAACTGCGTTTAACGTTTTTCTAAGGAAATGTAATTCTTCAATTCTTTTCAAATTTTCCCTTTGTTTAATTACAATTTCTTCAAACGTTAAAGATTGCTTTCTGGGTTCCAGTTTTTCTATGTTGTTTCTAAATCTGTTTTTACCTGATTAGTTTGCTCATCTGGTTTCGGTACAATTAATCTTTTTTCTATCCATATTGTTTCCGCTGGCACCTTTATTACTAACACTATTGATCTTTGTTTAAACGTGGCTGTTCCTAACTTTATTTGTTTAAATTTTTGGAAGTCAATATCAAATCTTTGCATCTCCTCTCTACTTAAAATGTACACTTTGTTGAATTTTTTCTACTTGCCTTCTCAAGCTTGTTATAGAGAAAAGCTGCATAATCGCTACACTTTCCTCTATTATCCCTAAACGAACTTCATCAAACTGCCTCACGTTATTTCTCATTACTTCTCTGTCCTGTTTCATCACTTCTCTGAGACCCACTAGAGTTTTATTGAAATTATCATTAATTAATACCTGTTGATTTTCAGCCGATATTAAGTCATAATTTTTTTGTTCTAATGCTTTTATGTGTCCCTCAATCGCAGTTTTATCTTCGTCGTTTAAGGTACCAAATGCCCAATTAAATAAACGCCCTCCTGCATTTACTAGTCCTCTTTTCATTCTTTGGGGTAGTAAGGTATGTAACATATTTTCTGTTAAGGTAATTTCTGACTCTATCAATGTTCTGTAACCTGAATGTTTATTTGTTCTATTCACTGTACATATATTTAAAACTTTCTAATAACTGTCCAATTTCATATGGGTCTATTGTGTGTAAAATGTAATTGTATTTACTGACGATTTCAGTTTTTCCAACGTTGATTTCTGTATATCCCAGATTTGTTTCTATCTTCTCCACATACAATTCGGAATTTATCAATACTATTCCAGTGAAAAATAACTGTAGAAAAAATAAAATAGCTTTAAAAATTGTTGCGTACTATAACTCTTAGGGCTAGTTCAAACTATGTCTTATGTAGTTTTAAAAGATTATTGTGAAAAATCTTTTCTCTACCCTTTATGATTATTTTCGTGTTTACGGGAGTAGGTATTTCTGTAACTTGAAAAGGACCTTCCCATATTTTGAACATTCTATTTTTTGTTTCTTTATCATAGTACTCTTTTGCTTTTTCTTTAGCTATTTTATGGTTCTTCCTTACTAATATGACCGTTGTATTTAATATTTTAACAGTTTGGATTAATCGTCATAATTATAAACTGGAGTTGGTTTTCGCTTTAAACTTATTGGTATCTCGAATTCAAAGCCAAATAGCGTTTTAGTAGGTGTTTGTGAAGTGGTTGTATGCATTGTATTATTATGTACATGCATTGCATGATGTAACCACTCATCCCAATTTGACTCATCTTCTTTCACAAAATTTCTCAGGAACTCTGCTAAAGGTCTATGACTACGTTCTAGAGCTCCGTTTGCCTGTGGATGATAGGGTGTAGTTTGAAGTTTTTTAATACCCAGAATTTAACATGTTTCTTTGAAAATCTTTGATGTAAAATTCGTTCCATTATCCGTTATTAAAACTTTAGGAATATTTAACTTTGCGATGAGGCTTCTGCCTCCGTTGAGGCTTCTGCATTTGGTAACGCAGTACATATTAGATATTTTGAGAAATCATCTTGAAAAGTCAAGAAGAGTTTAATCCCACTTTCCGTAGTCGGTAATGGACCTACTATATCCATGAATATTTTATCAAACGGTCTTTGGGGCGTGTCAGTTAGAATCAGTGGTAATCTCTCTACTTTTGTTCTTTTGGCATTTATGACAAGCTGTTATGTATTCTTTTATTTGTTTTTGCATACCTGTCCACTTGAACTGCTTTCTTATTAGGAAATAAGTTTTAGTTACCCCTTTATGACCTCCTATTGGTGAATGATGAAATTTTTTCAAAACTTCCTGAATGTCTTTTTTATTTGTTAAGTACACTGCAAAGTCTTCATGTGTATGTGCTATTGAATTCTCCATTTCCTCTTGGTTGTCTACTGAAATTGTATCTGAGTTTTTTGCAAGTTCCGCCTCTTTTGCTTTACCCCTTGTTATAACCGCTATTGGAAGTCTACTCAAAGCATCCGCATTTTTATTAGTCTTTCCAGGCTTATAAAAAATATCGAAATCGTATTCTAGTAACTTCAAACGAAATCTTCCCAGTCGCATATCTTGATCTTTTAAGTTAGCAATTCCACGTAAAGGCTTATGGTTCGTATATATTTTAAAATGTCTTCCCAGCAAATATGATCTGAAATTTCTCGTTGCCCATACTATAGCAAGTAATTCTTTCTCTATAGTTGAGTATCTTTTTTCAGTACTGCACGGCTTGTGAAGTAAATGGGTAAGTCTGATTCAACTTTCCTTGGGGTAGTACTGCCCCTAATGCTTCATTACTAGCATCCGTTGTTAACAAAAATCCTTTTGAAAAATCTGGATACTGCCAAATTGGTGGACTGGTTACTGCTGCTTTCAACTGATCCATTGCTTTTTGGCATTTCTTATTCCATTCGAACTTTTCCCCTTTTCTCAGCAATTTGTTTAATGGTAAAGACACCTTAGCGGCTTGTGGAATAAACTTTCCACAATAATTCATTAGACATAAAAGTGATTGCATGGATAGATTTAACACATTTCGTTTTTTCAGGATCCGATATCACTCCTTCGTCTGAGTATTTATGGCCTAAGTATATGACTTCTCTCCTTAATTATTGACATTTTTCAGTTTGTAGCTTTAAATTGTTTTTTCGAAGAGCTTGCTATATATTTCTAAATCTTTTGTCATGTTCTTCTAAATTACTGCCGTATATTACTATATTATCCAGATATACAAAACAATCGATTTCTTGAGGCCTTGTTAGTATGCTATTCATTATGCGTTGGAACGTTGCGGATGCTCCTGTTAATCCAAATGGCATCCTAAGAAATTCAAAATGTCCAAGTCCCATACTGAATGCTGGTTTTTCTCTGTCTTTGCCGTCAACTATCACTTGATGATAGTCACTAGCTAAATCCAAAGTTGTAAAATACCCACTGCAACCTAACTGATCCAAGATCTCATCTATTCTCGGAATTGGAAAAACTTGTTTGATGGTTTTTTCATTTATTTTTCTGAAATCTACCACCAAACGCCATTTTTTTTTCCATCTGTACCAGGTTTTTTAGGTACTAGAATTATTGGTGAATTCCATGGTGACTTGCTTTTGGTTATAATTCCCTCCTCCAGCATTTTATTAACTTGTTTATTTATCTTTTCTTTATGTGTTTCGGGTAATCTATATTGGCGTTGGTTTATTGGTATCTGCCCTGGCTCTGTTGGAATCTCATGTTTCAACACAGGTGTGTATGTTAGTCTATGTCCTATTAAATGAAACACATCACTATATTCTTCAATTGTTTTTGTTATCAACCTTCTTTCCTCTAGATTTAAATTTCTGTCAAAATTTACTGTTTTTAATAGCAACTTATAACGTTTATCCATATTAATTTTCTTATTTAAATTTACATTTGGTAGCCTGTATTCATAAAAATCAGTCATATCATTACCTTCTAACTCAATTTCTGTACCAATTTTAACAGAATGACTAATTGCATTTAATGTTTTTACGTAGCCTATACCATTTATTGCTTTGGTAAGGCACTCTCCTACGTAAACCTTTGGCAAAACTTATTTTTTATGAACAATTACTGTTCCTTCTTTAGGTGCCATTTTAATTGGCACTACCATTGTTGATCTAGGTGAGATCGTGAAATCCGACCGTGATCTCCAATGTCTACCAAAGGTAAAGTTGCTACCTCTTTTTTATTATCATGAAATTTTAGCACCTTTCCAATTGTATCCATTGTTGAACGATTCCATATTTTATCTCTTCCCAGAAATTCATCTGCTGGTATTTAGCTTCCCAATGGAACTACATGCATATTGAATTTTAACTCCGCAAATTCTCCATGCTCTATTTTTACTGTACCCAATGTACTTATGTTGCCCTCAAAGGCTCCTATCAGTCCCTTTGTATTGCGTTTATTTATATCTGCTTTATTTAATAACGCTTCGGACTTTATCAAACTTGTGTCAGCTCCGGAATCCACTAGAAGTAGCAATTTATTGCCCACTGCCTGTTTACAATGTACTTCTATATAGTCATCATCGAACGATTAACTAATACCGCCCATGGTATTATAATTTGTTCCCGTAACCCGTGGTATTTGAAAATTCTGATATATCCAATCTTTATTGATTTTCAACTGCTCCCAGAGTGTTGAAAAAACTGACATAACATACATATAATCAGTACATGTATTACAATAATTCCCAAATATTAATTACATTCTTTTGATAATTGTTCTTTAAATTTGTTATATGTATAATTTGCCGTATTTGCTAACTTTATGCTATTTACTTTCAAGTTATGAGATTCTTTTGCTTCTATTATGGTTGATTTATTTTCTTTCTTTTTTTCTAATACATTCATTTGGACTTTAACTTTTACCTCTGATGCCTCTGATACCTCTGATTTTTTTTTCGGGATTCCAGTCTAGCGTCTTAGACTGGTCCGGTTGGAGTTTCTCTGCTGAGTAGGTAGAGTTACTTGGCAAGCCTTTGCCATATGCCCTTCTTTTCCATTTGAAACATTTAATTTTTTCACCTTCACAGCTACTGCTCAAAGGATTATTTTGTGGTCTAATTTTGTGTTGTGAATAATTTTGGCTACTTGTCCAACGACTATAATTATTTGTCATTTGGCTTTGATTTTTTTTATATTTATTTATAATATTAAGTGCATTAAGTACATGCTTTTTATTGCACTATTTTAAAAACTAACTTAAAAGCTAACAATATATTCATTCAAGTATAATTTATTTAGAAAATTACAAATATTAGAACATATAATAAAATTGAGTTAAAATATAACTTCAATATAACTTCAAATTGAATATTATTATATAATGATAAGGAAATATAGAAATTAAATTAAAATTAACATTTAATTTAAAATTAAAATAATATATTAAATTAGTTCAGTTAACAATAATTTTTTAAAAACTCTTAAATTACATGCATTTCGGGTTGAACTTGGTAAAGTGTTCCATAATCGGATTGAATGAATAAAGAAAAACCTAGTGGTAGCAACAACATTAAATCTTGGAATTACGAAAAGAAGAGATCTGTTGGAACGCATAGGCTGCAAGCAATTATAAAGGTACTCAGGATATTTAGTAGTTTTCAATTTAAACAGAAATAGGCAGATTCGAATATTTAAATGCTGCTCAATGTCACAACCCAGTATAGCGTTTCTATAAACTGTTAGATGATCAAAACGTTTAAGGCCGTATACGTATCTTGTACTACAGTTTACTACAGTTCTCAGTTTAGCAACGGACTCGCAGTCAAGTTTACAGTACACCAACGCGGCATAAGTAATTAAAGGTATTATCAGTTGTTTGACCAATAAGCCACGCACATCGACTGGGGTATACTTAGTAGATAAATTCAAATATCTGAGGCAAATAAATGGTTTCCTAACGACATGATTGACATGATCAGAGGCATGTAATTTTTTAATAATTGAGTTTCCAATAGCCACCTGAGGTAATTCGTCTAAATTTAATTCTATCCAAGTAATCGGCAAAATGATGGTTTTATCTGCGTTTAGAAGCATATTGTTTTTAACTGCCCAGCGATGTATGCATGTTAAATCTATATTGATCTTTGTGACAAGGTCATTTAAATTATCACTCCGACACGAATGATACATTTGTATATCATCAGCATATCCATGTAGCCTCGAAAATTGACATACGAAAATAGCAATGGAATCGATCCTTGAGGAACCCCAGAAAACAGAAGTTTAAAATTTGAAAATTTATTATCAATAACTACTGACTGAGATCTCTCAGTTAAATAACTAAAAATAAATTTAGAAGCTAAACTGGAGAAGTGAAACTTATTTATGAGCTTTTTACAGACAAACCGGGATCAACTCGGTCAAATGCTTTTGAAAAATCTAGAAGACATAAGTATTTCTATAAGCATTTCTATTGTCTGAATTTACAAATTTACAGAACCTATTTTGTTCATGACCCTTTACTTTACAAATATTACAAAACAACGTATTCAATTTTTTAAAACATTTGGAAGAGTCATGCACTATTTTTTTACAGAAATCACATGTTACTTATTTCGTACTTAACTCATTAATTGTACCAATTCTACATTTTGGGCCATTCTCATGACCATATTCACCACAATTCGAGCAGTACGGTGTGTTTTGTCTATCTTGGCAATTTACCCATCCATGTCCTAATTTGTTACAAAAAACACACTTTGTTTCCGTTAACGACACGTTAATATTATTGACACTGTAAATAACTTTGCCTACTTTTAGGTGTTATTAGAAAATGTCTGCTATGCATTTATTAATTATTATTAAACAAAACTTTCAACTTTACTATATTAATAATAAAAAATACGGTATTAATTCTTACTTTGAAGAAAGAATCTACTGTTAACTTTACATCACAACACATTTAATTATGAGCATATGTACCAAAAAAATTGTGTACCAAGATACCAGTGCCACCATATGCTTTTCCATCAGGGTGATTGGTTTTATAGAATAAATGCTTCGGCAGTCGAATGGGGCAGCACTAAAACAACGCACCGAGGTAGAGCCCTATTAGAGACGTTCACCTCACTAAACCTAATACAACTGAACAATGGGCAAAGCCCAACGTTCGATAATGGTAGATGCGTATCCTACATAGATCTTACTTTTGCCAGCAATGTAAAGTATCAAACCACTACACCCACAGCGACGACCATGCCTTTTGCTTTTCTATATCATTGAAAGAGATGTTTGTTTTAAAAAAATCGCAAGGTGTTCGCAATGTAAAGTAACAAACCACTACACCCACAGCGACGACCATGCCATTTGCTTTTCTATATCATTGAAAGAGATGTTTGTTTTAAAAAAATCGCAAAGAAAAGCACAGCAAATAGGCTTGAAAACTAAGTATCTCGGTAATGGAATTCATGTTCAAAAACATAAGTTTCGGAGACGGGGATGCTTCCGAATGCTTCAAATCTTCTTATGAAGGAACTATGCAACATTTGTGATGCATCAATAATGGGCGTGCACCAAACTATTGGTGTACGGAAGAAACAGCTTTACTAAGATCTCAATATTTTGCATCCCGTAGGCAATTCCAACGCAACAGATCTGGAGTAGATGCGGCAAGGCTACTACAAAAATACCGAAAGAACAGATCAAAATTTAAAAAGGCAATTATTAAGAGTAACAACCGAGCTTTTCAAACTCTGATCAATGATGTAAACCAAAATGTATGGTGATGGCAACAAAATAGTAATGCGTAAGATGTTAAGAGGATCGGTACCCTCTTGTCATAAAATAATGGCGAACATTGTGAAACATTTGTTCCCAAAAAAGGGAGAACTTAGAATCTTAATATCGATAAACACTGAGTTAAAAGAGTTCCTTTCGGTTACAAATTTTGAAGTCATAGCCGCTTCTTCCAAAGTTAAACCCAATAAATTTCCTGGATTGGATGGAATCCGCCATACTGTTCTGAAGAAGGCAATACAAAAACAACCTTCTTCATTTAGGGATGTGTTCAAGAGCTGCCTACAGGAAGGAATTTTTTCTTCGTGTTGGAAAAAGTAAAGATTGGTGCTAATTCCTAAAGGTGATAAGCTCTCAGAACTACCATCGTCTTACAGACATTTATGCTTACTGGACACTGCAGGTAAGGTCCTTGAAAGAATTATATGTTTTAGATTAGAATAATTCACGGAGAAAAGTGCTATACTACATGTACTACATGATGCTATACTACATGTGTTCAACATTGCAAAGAAAGCTACTAAGGGCTTAAGGTGGCTAGGTGGTACCAAAAAGTACTGCGCAGTGGTGACTTTAAAATTTAAAAATGCATTCAACTCTGCTGAATGAAGTAGTATCTTAAATGCACTGATGAAAATAAAAGTCCCAGAATATCTTGTAAAAATAATTACATCTTATTTTAAAGACAGATTACTTTTATATGATAGAGAATCTGGATCCAAAACATATAAGGTTACGGGAGGGGTCCCCCAGGAATCAGTTCTAGGGCCAATTCCATGGAATATCATGTACGATGGTATCCTTCGAATTGAAAAGCCGGACGGAGTGAACGTAGTTGGGTATGCAAATGATATTGCAATAGTAGTTGTAAATTATAAGCGTTTTTATAATTGGGGTTTGTGATCTTTATTTCAATTTCTTTAACACAATGTAAATTATAAACGTTTTTATAATTGGGTTTTGATTTCATTTAATTTATACAATTGAATTTATACAATTTCGGTTATATATATATTGATTGTTTAATCACTTTTTTATGTGTACCCGTGTGTTGACACGTTCGCGATCGAAAAACAAGAGACAGAATCAAACCAACGGAGTTTACTTGCAGCCAAAAAATATAACAATAAAATTTGCTCATCTCGAGCGCAAAAAAAACAAAAGGCAATAAAACAAGACTTAGAACCGTTGGTTTGATTGCATCTTATACAGGGTTAGTTAGGTAAATTAATTAACCATATATTAACCATATAAAATATTATATATATATATGAATTATATAATATATTAATTATAATAATTTAATTATACAATATGATTTACAATAGATTAAAATATAATAAATTATAATATATAAATCATATAACACATCAATTAATAATTCTACAGATTCCTACAATATTAACAATTTGACTTTAACCGCTCTAACATCCCGCCCCCCTTGAAAGGATTTTCAATTGGTAATAGTGCGAGTTTGTGGATTGGACGGCGTATTACTCCTTTTGGGGTTTGCACATCAACAACACGAACCAAATTATCTGGACCCCTGATGCAATGCACGATTCGGCCCATCAACCAGCGTAGTGGAGGCATATTGTCTTCATGGATTATAACCAGAGCCCCCTCGGTGATGTTAGATTGTTCTTCTGTCCATTTGGTGCGTATCTGCAGCTCATTCAGATAGTCTCTAGACCATCTGCGCCAGAAGTGATGTTTGACCGCGGTTATACGAGACCATTTATCAATTAATGAAGCAGCTTCATACTGAGGACTTGGTTCAGATAAAGTTTTGAGCGGCCCACCGATAAGAAAATGTGCCGGCGTTAGCGCTTCGTAGTCGCTCGGGTCACAAGAATGAGGTGTGATTGGTCGCGAATTTAAGATGGCTTCGATTTCAATCAGTGCTGTTCCAAGCTCCTCAAAGGTGAATCGAGTATTTGATAGTGTTCGATACAGATGGCCTTTCGCGCTTTTTACAGCCGCTTCCCATAGACCTCCAAAGTGAGGTGCTCGGGGCGGTATAAAATTGAAATTTATGAATTGGTTGCTGCAAAGGGTCTGCAGCATCACTTGATTAGACTTCTCGAAAAACATCCTTTTTAACTCTGCTAGTTTGTTGTTAGCCCCAACGAAGTTTGTGGCGTTATCGCAATAGATGTCTGATGGTAACCCTCGTCTACCGATTAACCTTTTCAGTGCTGCAATAAATGCCTCCGTAGATAAGTCTGACACGTCTAGATGAGCTGCCTTTGTAGACAAACAAACGAACACGGCTATATAGGTCTTATATGGAACCCGTCCCCGAATTCGGAGATACGTTAATATCGGACCGCAAAAATCTACCGCAGTACGCGCGAAAGGACGACTTGGAGTGAGGCGTTCGATTGGGAGATTACCCATCATTTGATTAAGTAGTTTGGGTTTATAACGCACGCAGTGAATACACGAGAGCACGACTCGGCGTGCAATTTCTCGAATATTAATTATCCAGAAGTTTAGTCGAGTCAGGGCAATTAGTGCCTTTGCGCCTGCATGATAGTTGCACAAGTGTACATGCCGAACATAAAGTTCCACAAAATAACAGCCCTTCGGCAACAAAATAGGGTGACGTTGGCCTACTGAGATGTCACTCAGCTCGAGGCGACCTCCCACCTTTAGTAATTGATAACCGAATACATTGTCCAGGAAGGGATTTAGATGCTTTAATGTACCTTCGGCTGGGTTTCCTCGTTGTAGGCGTTGTATATCAATTTCGAAGAATTGCTGTTGGATGACCCAAATAATACAGTGCAATGCCTTTTGTAGCTGAATAGGTTGGAGGGTACATTCTCCGTTCGTCAATTTATTCTTGGTTACATGATAGAATCGCTGTACCTGCGCTATTACTCGTAGCATCTTAGTGTATGAACTATATCTTGACAATACCTGTAATACGTAGTTGTCTTCATTTGTGTTAACAAATACAACCTTTCGCGTCTCTTTATTGACTTCTTCCATATCCAGGTTGTGACATTTCAAATGCGGCCAGTATTTATCAGCGAGTAACAAAAATTCCGGCCCCGTGAACCAACAGGACTCTGTTAATTGGCGGATGTTACAGCCGCGCGACACAACATCTGCCGGATTGGATTGGGTAGGAACGTGTCTCCATTGCCCATTTGCGGTAATATCTTGAATTTCCGCTACTCGATTGCCAACGAATGCAGACAGGGTTGATGAGTGCTGCTTCAACCAATGTAATACAATCTGTGAATCAGTCCAAAAAAACGTTTCACCCTTAAATTGCGCAAATATTGGTTGGACCTTCTGATACAGTTTGGCAAGAAGTAAGGCACCACAGAGTTCTAGTTTAGGTAGCGACTTCCGCTTTATAGGTGCCACACGGGATTTTGCAGTAAATAGCTTGACCGTCACCTTACCTGATGTGTTTTGTGATCGGAGAAATATGCAGCAACCATATGCGCGTATTGAAGCGTCACAGAAACCGTGTACATCAACCTGTTGATGGTTTATTGATAGGCAGTATCTCGGCACCTTAACCGATGAAAGCGTTGTAAGATCTTGAATAAATGTTTTCCAAGCTGAGTGAAGATTTTGAGGGACTGACTCGTCCCAGTCCACACGCAACAGCCACAATTCTTGCATCATAATTTTTGCTACGAGTATGATCGGTGCTAGTAATCCAAGCGGGTCGAATAATGAAGACGCAAGGGATAAAATGGTGCGTTTTGTTACAATTTGACCTGGTTGCGCATTGAACGAAAATAGGAAAACATCTTGCATTTGGTGCCACTTGATGCCTAGGGCGCTGGTGACTGTATCTGTATCAAGATTCAAACTCTTTGTTGTAGTATCGCTGATGAAGTCATGATGGTTTGAATGCCATTTGTCAAGATCGAAGCAACCCTTCTGTAGAATGGCCGTTAACTGATGTCTGATATTGGTGAGTTGATCAATGGAATCTGCTCCACCTAAGAAGTCGTCGACAAAGAACGATGATTTAATGAGTGCAGCGCCTATTGGGTATTGTGTTTCAAATTTGTCCACCAAATACTGCAAACTCCTGGTT